TCATGACTGCAAGGTCTCTCTGTTTCTCTTTCCTTCTTCATCAGGTATATTCCTCATACTTCTCTGAATATGTTGGTTAACATGGTATCAGCGCCCTCAGTGCTTCTCTTTGTTTCTTTCTCTCAATTTCAATTCTAGGGTTTTCTCTCTACTTCATCATGGGTTCTTTTTCCTCCATCAAGATTGTTGGCTTGCTCAGTATGGTTACCATTCGTCTCAGTGACAACAATTTCTTGAAATGGACTCATCAACTCCAATGCTAACTGTTCATCCACAGCACTCGATTGATTAGTCCGAACAAATGCGTCATGGCTCCATCCTGCTCCATCATCCGGCCATGCGTCATGGCTCCGTCCTGCCTTATTATCAGTTCCCCCCAAAAAATCCAGATATGGCTGCTAATTGTTCATGTATAACACTGCTCCTGAAAAATGCGTCATCAACTCCCCTCAAAAACAGGTACATATAAGTATATGACTAAATATCTCATAATAAAATCTCTTTCTTCATAGGAAGAAAAAAATGTGTAAATGGAAAAACTTTATAAAATTAAGTTCTTTTTTGAAGGAAAAAGAAAAGTGTCCTTTAAAACTTTATAAAACCATTAGAATCATATAGCAGATATCGCACCGTGAAACTAACATCAAATATCAATTAGGAGCATAGAAAAAACCATGGCCCCAATTGGAATAACCATTGGAAAGAAACCACACCTGTTTCACGTACAAATCTTGCGAGCCCAGGATGCATGTGGGCTCACATACGTCTTCCTTTTGCTGCAAAAACTGTTAGTGTTTGACAAGCTAATCTGTGCTAATGGGAAAATGGAGAATTGGGAATAATGAAGAAGAGAGAGAAGAACAATATGCTCTGCAAAACTTGTATATTGATTCGTGAGAGTGAGGCACTATATCATTTACCGTTAGAGGAGAGAGAGAGCTATACAATTCCTAGCTTCAATCTCAACCATCCAACTACACTATCAATAGAAATAAGACACCTGTCCAGTCAAGTTCTATGAGACTTAACAAACCGTTGACTAGTATAAACAGCTTAGCCTATGAGCTAAGTATTAACACCAAACAAAACAATTACATACTAAATCAGTTTACCATTTTGCACATTAACACTCTCCTTCAAATTGTGAACTGTCCTTTGTAGGACAATGAATCAAGTCGATTACACCTTATTGTAGAGCTTCCTTGATGTAGTGATACCTCAGGTTTATGTGTTTGGTTTTTTGATGAAAGATCGAATTCTTGGTGATGACAATGGCTGAGGTGTTATCACAGTGTAGGGGTGTTGCCACAGTGTGCATCTCACCAAAGTCTTCTAACACAAACCGTAACCAAGTAGCCTGTGCAGTTGCCTCTGATGTACTCACATATTCTATTTCAGCTGTGGATAGAGCAACACATTGTTGCTTCATAGATGCCTAAGAGAATAATCCACTGCCAGATGTAAAGGCATATCCTGATGTACTGTTCATATCCTCTTCTGATCCAGACTAGTCACTATCACAGAAGCCTACCAAAACCGATCCTTCTCCTTTTTTATATTCCAAACCAAAATCAAGTGTACCCTGAACATATCTTAGTACCCTCTTGGCAGTTCCATAATGTTTATTTGTGGGGGAATGCAAAAATCTAGCCAACAGATATGCATCATACATTATATACAGTGTAGCTGCAGTAAGATAGAGTAGACTTCCCACAAGTTTTTTGTATTCAGCTTCATTTGCAGCTCCACTTTCGTCATCTTTCCTCAATTTATCAGCTTGTACAAGAGGAATACCAACAGGTTTACAGTCTTGCAGACCAAATTTTTTCAAAGAGTGGAAGCATATTTTTTCTAGTGTATGAAAATGTAGTCTTCACTTTGGATATTTCCCATTCCTAGAAAGTGATGCAGCAAACCCAAATCTGTCATCTCATACCTCTGCATCATATCAGTCATACAGGACATTCATTCATATAACACCAAAACTAAACTATGAAATTAGAGAATAACAGCAAAACAAATTTATTTCATTTTCATAGAAACAATAATGAGTGTTCTTTTTGTTCAATAAAAGAAGAATATGCACTTCTTCTTTTTATGGTTACTGCCATAAGGTAATCAAACAAATTACACAAACTTTCATTCTCAAAATAACCATCTGTCAATACAACAACAAAATATGAAATTTTGTTTTTTCTTCTTCAAATATCAATTACGCGCAGAGTCTTCATACGAGGTAGAATTGATATTGGTCTTTTAATAATAAAATTCATTTTTTTTTTTTTCAGAATCATACTTCATTAAAACCAGGAAAGGAAGGAACAACAAGGTAGAAGCCCAAAAAAAGAAATTTTTGTATTTTTTGGATACACAACGTGGTTGGTGTATCATCTAATACACATGAGACATGTGAAAATATTTCATTTTTATATCCTATGTGTATTGGACAATATTACCATATGTTCTATGTGTATTGGATAGTACATTAGCCACGTGGTGTACTTGCAACATGCAAAAGTTACTCCAAAAACAGGTACATATGAGTATATGACTAAATATCTCATAATAAAATCTCTTTCTTCATAGGAAGAAAAAAATGTGTATATGGAAAAACTTTATAAAATTAAGTTCTTTTTTGAAGGAAAAAGAAAAGTGTCCTTTAAAACTTTATAAAACCATTAGAATCATATAGCAGATATCACACCGTGAAACTAACATCAAATATCAATTAGGAGCAGATAAAAAACCATGGCCCCAATTGGAATAGCCATTGGAAAGAAACCGGACCTGTTTCACATAGGACTTAGGCCCAGTTTGGTATTACTATCACTTTTTAAAAAAGTTGCTTCTGCTATGCTTTGAAAATAATTAGCTGTAAAGTAAAGCAATTCCATGTTTGGTAAACAATATTTTTAAAGTGCTATTAGTACAAAAAACAGTGTCAAAACTGTTTGGTAAATTTTAATATAATATTGTTGTAACTGTGAATAATGACTAAAATAGACATGATATTGAAAGTGTTATATACTAATCATGTGGTGGTAGTGGTAGTGGTAGTGATGGAGTGGAGGCGATGGTGGTGATGATGGTGGAGTTAGTGGTTGTGGTAGTGGTGGTGGGGATGGCGGTTGTGGAGGAGGTGGTGGTGGTAGTGGTGGTGGTGGTAGTGGAGGTGGAGGTGGAAGTAGTGGAGGAGGTAGTGGTTGTGGTGGTGGTTGAGGAGGATGAGGAGGAGGAGGATGTGGTGGTGGTGACAGCTGCGGCGGTGCAAGTGGTGGAGTTATATGTGGAAGTGGAGATGGTGTCACTTTTTAAAATGAATGATGGTATTTTGTGAATTAAAAAAATTCATTAAAGGTTCATCTCTGCTTCTTTTGAAAGCAGTTTTGACAAGTAACCCAGAGCCTATTTTTAAAAGTTGTTGTCAAAAGGCCATTACATTTAAAATAATCGGGATACTTTATTTTTATCAAACACCTTAAACTGCTTAACTTTAAAGTGAAGCAGGTTTTTGACACAAAAAAACAATCCCAAATGGAGCCTTAAGCGTCCTTCCTTATTAGCAATTAATAGAAAAAAAACAAACAGACAAAAAGAAGCACCAGATCAGACTTGCCAAACAAAAAGAAGTTTGAAGTATTCTTGATGATAACAAAAGAAGAATTAATTTTCGAAACAAGTTCCGAATGGATACAAGGGCGAAAGGCTCATCTTCCAATTCATACAAATCAAGTTCCGAATGGATATTTCCCATTCACAAGTTTGTCCATTCTAGATGAACCCCTATCCTCTTAACCATCACAAAATCAACACCATGAGGCCTTACAAGAATCGATACGTGGTCACCGCCTTCCAAACGGAGCACATCGTTTAACAAATGTCCTTGCCAAAGAAATCAAGACTGCAATTTCTCTCTGTTTCTCTTTCCTTCTTCTTCAGGTATATTTCTCATACTTCTCTGAATATGTTGGTTAACATGGTATCAGGCCCTCAGTGCTTCTCTTTGTTTCTTTCTCTCAAATTCGATTCTAGGGTTTTTCTCTCTGCTTCATCGTGGCTTCTTCTTCCTCCATCAAGATTGATGGCTTGCTCAGTATGGTTACCATTCGTCTCAGTGACAACAATTTCTTGAAATGGACTCATCAACTCCCCCTAAAAAATCCCGATTTCTTTACAAATCATACAAATGATCCATATTTTCCTTCATGACTTTGTCCCATTCTAGATGAACCCCTGTCTTTTTCACTCTCACAAAATCATTATCAGGCCTTACAAGAATCGATACGTGGTCACCGCCTTCCAAACGGAGCACATCGTTTGACAATTGTCCCTGCCAAAGATAATGGTCTTCAAGTAAGGAGAGGTTCTTCAAGTTCACCGGAATCGTCTTCAGGTTCACCGGAATCGTCTTCAGATTCACCGGAATCGTCTTCAGGTTCTTCAAGTTCACTGGAAGATTTTAAGGATGCAAATGCTATCTTGGTGTGCAAAGCAGTTTGTTTGGTAAGATTTCTAACGATAATGTCAATAGGAACTTGAGAATCTTCAAGTTTTGGCCTGTCTGCAGAGTAAACGAAGCATATAGTCAACCCTTTTAAATCACGACCCATGATTCTTTGAGGAACTTCAAAGAAGACGATACTGTCCACATGATTGACGAATTTGAACCACTTGGGAATATCATAAATTCCATTCAAATAAATTCCACCAAATCCGCAAGAAGTCCATCTCTGCACACCAGAAGCAAGACAGTCTTATACGTGCTTGCATATATCATTACATACATGGGCCGCATCTGCAGCTGTGCCTCTGTCTGTGTGTGTGTGTGTGTGTGTGTGTGGGG